GTACCTTTTTGCACTAGGAGGAAAATGTGTAACTGTCGTGTACCAGAAAGACCCAGGGCTTTGAACGAGCCACATTAATTGCCCTTTGAATCCCAGCTCTGCCATGTACTACTTCTGTGACCTTGGGTGTGGGCCTTAACCTCTCTGAAGGTTAGTTGTTTTTTCTGTTTAAAAGTGAGATAATAATAATACTCCCCAAGGGAGGTTGTTGTGGCTTCTTGGAATCATGTATGCAAAGCTCCTGAAGAAACACCTGGTGCATAGTACCTGCTTAACAAATAACAGCAATTATAATTATGGTGGTGATAATGGTAAGCGTTCGTTGGTTTGTGGGTTTATTTATTTATTTTTGATACCTTTAGTAGAGCTAGCAATAGTATCTAAAAATTCAGATTTCTTTTCCAGTACTCTAAGTAGATTTAATGTGTTTTTTTCTGCCTTATTTAAAAACTTAAAAACTCCATTTTTCAAATACTCTTAACTTTGTTGAAGGATAATTGATAAATATAACTGTGTCTGTTTAAAGTATACAGTGGGATGATTTGATATGCATCTACATTGTTTAGTGATTACCAAGATTACTATTACTGTGACCAATAAACAGTGACTTTGCTAAGTGTGGTCCCGGGACCAGAAACATCATTCTCCCCTAAGAGCTTGTTAGAAATGGGACCTCTCGAGCTTACCTCAAATCCTACTCAGTTGAAAACTCTGGAGGTTTTAACAAGGCATCCATGAAATTTTGATGCCCACTCAAGAGAATTACTGCTTTAGGAACTCTGGGAAACATAGAAAAGGGTAACTTTCATGATCCTGCCATCCAGAAATAACCACTGTTAAAATTACGAGTGTATTTCCTTCTAGTCTTTATTTGTATGTGTATATACTTATTTTTAAACAAAAACATATCATACTATACAAGTATTATAGCCTACTATTCAACTCACTGTTATGTCATGACCATCATCACCCCATGACATTAAATTTTATTTGAAAACCTTTTTAATCATATGGCTGTGAGTGTCTCATAATTTATTCATTAACCCCTTAGATATTTGAGTTTTTCCCAGGTGTTCAAGTGGAACATAAGCAACACTGAATTGAAAATTTGTATTCATAAATCATTATGAATATCTCTGATTCTTTAGCATAAATGTATTACTAGGGTGGAATTACTGGGTCAAATGGTATGAACATTTTTGTAGCTCTTAATTTATATTGCCAAATTACCTTTCAGAAAAGTGCCAATTTGTCCTCTAACCAGCAGTATCGGCAGAGGGTACTTTCCTCAAACCTTGGCCAGCACCAGTCCGTTCGAACAGGCAACAATTTGATAGGAGAATGGTCTGAACTGTAAATGAAGAAGGCGTAACTTCACGTTTTCTAGTCTTTGTATGGCCTGTATTCACAAGCATCCATGGTAGATGCTGTCTTGGATCTTGTCTCTTCCGTACAGATGTTAAGGTTGTCTCTTCATTTGCTGCCTGCCCCTCACCTCACAAAGACTCTACAAGTTTCATTGAAGGGTGTTGCAGCTCTTCTAAAGGTGTGCTATGGGACAGAAATAGCCGGGCATCATGGGTGTGCTGGGGAGCCCATGGGCCTCAGAACATAGGGATTAGTGAACCCAGGAACTTGAATGGGGAGCGGGTCAGGGGGAGGACACGTGCTTTCCGGGACTCCCTCTCCCCCCACCCGGGGTGCTGCAGACTGTCGCTGTCCAGAGATCTTTCAGTCTTCTAGGAAATGCAGTCAGTGTGCCTAAATTTTATCTTAACCCTGCCTTTGATCGTAGATTTGAGAAGCTTATGAATAGGGGCCCTTTCCCCTGACAACTGCCAGCCTCTATGCAAATAGAGACTTCTTGTGCATTCAGTTTTAGGAGGTTCTAAATTCCTTGGGTGAACCCCTGTTTTAGGCAACTTGCTTTCAAATATATGTTTTCTGTCCTTGGCATTTTTTTTTTTTACTTCAAGTAATAATGAACAAAGAAAAGAATATATAGTGATTTCCTGTGTATAGAATCATTTTATGAATATATGCTTTTTAGATTCTGTCCACAATCCTATCAGCTAGTACTGTCACCCCCACTTTGGCAGATGAGAAAACAATGTCAGAAAAGCACAAGGATTTACTCAAAGTCTCTCAGTTGCAAAGTCGATGAATGGTCCTTGGGATCAGGAACCAGGTCTTGTGGCCGGATCCACTGGGGATCTGTGTGCTCTTGATAACATTATATAAAACATCCAAGGAAATCTGGCAAGCCAAAATAAGGCGACCTCCCACATTTAGAAGAATGGTGTGGAAATGCTACATGAGTATGAATCAGGAATTATTTAACATCCAGAGAAGGAGGCTTGCAAGATAAAGCAGCTGTGGATGCGTGCGTTGGGTGCATTGGGGGCCCCCACTGCTCGGTTGCTGGGTAATCGCAGGTACAAGTGACTGAGAGCCCCATCTTCTCCATCTCACCCTGGAACACAGATGCTAAATAGCCAAGAAGGGCATCGGAGGGAAACTATGCAAAATGCTATTTTTCTTCACTGGTGAAAGGGTTTCTGGATCTGTTCAAACCGGCTCGCACATAAGTCAGATGTTGCTTTTGTTGGAGCCATTTGGCAGGCTGTTTTTTGGTTTTTTTTTTTTTCCTTTTAAACCTTTTTTATTTAATGTGTACTCCCCACTGCCTAAATCAGAAGAGTAACTGTTTATTTAGTTACGTTTCATAAAGCAGCGATGCATTGTCTGTTTTAAATGAACAAAATGCCTGTTTTAAAAATAGGATGCCAGAAAGGCTAAGCAGACACTTGCCAGAATGACAGTGTGGCCTGTCATTTATTCCCCGCAGAATAAATTTGAGAGCTGTCATGAGACATCCCGGCTTACTTTGATTGCCCTGATGACGCACAGCCAGAAGCGGCCTCAGCCCTAGATTCTCAGTCCAGTTAGGGCTTCACAGGCGCCGGTTCAGATAGGCTCTCCTTTGTCCTAATGAATGTGCATCACGTATTTTCACTTCATTTTTGATGATTTCCTTTGAAACCACTGTGTTCTTTTTTAATTATAAAAGTAACCTACACTTGTAATCACATGGAGTTCTCGAAAGAGAACCTTAATAGTTTACCCTTCTTTCTGCTGGCTCAAATCCTGCCCCACTTTAGTTTCTACTCTTTGAGGAAACCATCATGAACAGTTTAATATGTATCCGTCTCTTCTTTTTCTTTTTCTTTCACATATACATTTCTTCATATGCATATATGGGATTTCTTTCTTCTGTGTTTTTTTTTTTCAAAAATTAAATTGTAGCCAACTTAGTATACTCTTAGTTTTTTTTGTTTTTTTAAAGTGTAGACCACTTTCTAAGTCAGTACAGACAAAGAAACCTATTTCACTCATTTTAATTGCTGAATAGCATTTTTTCTTAGAATATACTGTTCATCTTCTCACCTGTCATTGAACATTATGGTTGTTTCCAGTATTTTATTCAAACATTTACTATTACAATATAAACATTTATCTCATAAGCCGTATGATCATTTTCCACTTAGTCAAGTATGTTGCTAAAGAAATGAAAAAATAGGAACCTTCTATCTTCAGTTATTACCTATAATTGCACACTTCTAGAATTAGTAACCTATTAAATAGTAATAAGAATTATAGAAATTTGCATTTAGAATACGTCCTTTTATTTCGAGCGGCCCTAAACATAGCTTTTATTATGTGCTGGAGTCCTTTGTGGTTAGCTGCTGTGTGTAGATCTGCTGCAGAGCAGAGGTCATCTTTCAGCTGTCATCATGCCCTATCTAGACCCCTTCAAGAGTGAATAATTACTTGGGTTTGGGCAAATCTAGTAAACTAGTAATAGACTTACCCAGTCAGCCAGGGTTTGCTAGTTTTACCTTTTTAGACCATGGCCTTAGGTTTGTATGAGTGAGAGAGCCTGGCTTTTAGATGCATTAATTTAAAAAGGGCTCTGTGGTATTTTGGAAATAGGAAGGGAGGGAATCCTTTGATGATGTAAAAATTGCCCCAGGTCCCCTCCATTGCTTAATATGTGATTAACTAAAGTTACTGGCCACATGTTTCAGGATTGTGGATACTCAGGAAGAATTCTTAACCGTGCGATTATGAAAACGACCAATTTCCATAAGTGAAAATGAGCTTGCTTATGAATGGGGCCGCGGTTGCCTCTTGCATTCAATCACATTGATAACTAGCAAGGGGAACGATTGTTTTGCATGATTTAGTGTTTATGAAATTACAGTCGCAGAGCAAAGCTTGCTGTACTAGAGGCTTTGGGAAGAAGCATATGTGGTGTTTTTGCAGGTAATAAATTGGAAAATCCAATTTGCAATTGCAGAATAAGCCCCTGAGTGATATATGATCTTCATCACAGCATTGGTCAGAGGGTCATCGCTAATCACGGCATTGGCTGGCATCCCCTGTGGCCTGGCCCATCCCTCTGAAGAGGGAGCAGGAGGAATGTGTGTGCGGGAGCCAGCCAGCGCGTCTGTAGATGCACCACTTTCTAGCTTATTAGATCCTCTTTGTCACAGTGCTTAATCCTGCTGCCTGATCCTTGTTAGAACAGCACCGGAGCGCCGCGCAGGCTTCTCATAAAGGAGATGGGTGAGGGCTTCTTACTAGATGCACTGAAGCGTGCGGCCGTTAGGGCGATTGCAGCCTGACTGACAGCGGGGCGAGATGCTTCCTGTGTGTTATTACTTGAAAGGGAACCCACCTCAGACAGCTGATAGATGAGCTTTGCCGAGGCAAGAGTAACTTGTTGCTAGGCCAATATGAGACGGGTGTCATCTTTTCACACAGCATAATGGCCCAGCTTTACTCTAATTATATTAACCCTCTTCTGAAATGGCTACATTCCAGGCCGGCTCCCTGTGAGGTAAGGAAGCCAGAGACAAATAGCTGGCAGGAAGGATTGCGGCTGCACAGAGGCAGGTATTGTGTTCTCCACCGGTGGCATTAAGTGGAAAAACAAAATGAGCACACCCTATTACGCCAAGCCCGGCGATAACTCCGAAGAGGCAGCGCTCGGTTTGGCTTGCGTGGTCTCCATCTCTGTCATCTGTAATAGTCGCCTGCTTTACGGTTCGCTGTGGGCATTAAACACGATTTCCATGGTTCTTTGTTAAAAAGAAAACACACAGTCGACAGCAAAGCTATTGTTTGGGGTCCTCCCCCGCCCCCCGCCACCGTCCCCAATGGACCTGAATCATTCTTTTTTTTAGGCTCCCTCCTTCTGGTAGCTGTATGAAACCCCTGTGAATGCGACTGAGCAGCATTGTTTGAAACTAAAATAAACAGCTGGAATGTAGAGATGAGTTTGAAGAGATGCAAATGAAAATGCTCCTGCAGAGCCCCGGGCCCCGCTGTGGACCCCGACTTTTTGACATCCGTGTGTCTTTCCCTCCGAAGGGAGTGTGTCCAGCTTGCATCCAGCATTTCCTGTGTGCTCCAGTTAGCAGCCGTCATTAGCAATCCCCTGCGCCTCTTCTGTCTCCATCGACAGCACTTAATAGAGATGTTGCCAGGGATTGACAGATCTCCGGGGGTTGGCGGCTTCAGACAGAAGGGCCCAGAGAACATGGCTGACCTTTCCTGGCGTTATTCCCCCAGGTCTGTCTTCCATGTGTTGCAATCAGGGAGCATAGAATTTAGTACATCCTTTTCAGAGGATTATGACTCCAAAGACTGCAGGCTTCTTAAGAGGCTGTGAATACGTTAGCAAAGTGGGGATGGAGGTAATTGGTGATAGCATGCAAACTCTTCTCTTCCATAGAAATATGCACCTGTACCTTGTGATCAAGGATACTCCATTAAAACCAGCCTTGCTCATGACATACCTGTACATTTGGATCAGTGGGGTAAGCCTTGAACCTGGGTGGAAGGGAGCTTGTGATACAGCCTGGAAAAGAAGAGAATCTTCTTTCTCTCGCTGCCCCATGAAAGGCATCTCTGGGCAACTTCGGACTAGCCGAGGCTTGTCTGTGGGGCCCTTCCTAGAGCTTTTCCCAGATCCACGTTACTCTCACACTGACCTGAATACACAGCATGGCGAGAAACGCTCTGTGCGCCCAAAACAGGTGCTTTCCCTCCTTCTTCCCAGTCTTCTTCCCCAGCGTAAAATAATGATATTCCCGTGACCCCCCATCCGAACCAGATGTTAAGAGGAAAGCCATCCAGCTGAGTTAATTCGTGGTAACGTATGAACGATGGGAAGTCCCGGATGCATGCTCAACAGATACAATTCTACCCACTGGAAATTCAGATTGTATTTCTCATTAGGATGACCAATTTGGGGGGACGAGGAGGAAAGGTAAATTGTAAGGCCCAGTAGCTACTAACAGGAAGATCCTCTTTGCTTAGGAAGTGGTTTATTACCTAATGCAATTTATACTTTTCATGGCTTCTTTTTTTCTTACTCACTTTGTGTGACATAAATTTTTCCAAAGGTCTTAGTTTTTTCGTAGTTGATTCCATGCTGATGTCAGTGGGTGGGGCTTAGAAGTAGAAAGATGATAATGTATAAGCATACGTTGTTTATTAGGTGAATGTTTTAAGAGCGATGTGCTCACCTATAGTGCCTCCACCCCATCTTCTTAGGGAATTATTACAGCATAGTTACTGTCACATGGTATGTAGGCCCTTCCTTCAGTGACCATGCTTTCTAAGAAGAGTGGGCGACGTATACACTGTGCACTTGAAACAGTATACTTCAGAAATAGACTTGGTTTTAAATGGAAGACTTTTTCTAAAACTTTCAGTATTATTCATCTTTAGGAAAAGTAGAAATGGGAAAAAAAAAGTAATAAGAAAATGAATGATAGGGAAGAGAGGACATAAAGTATAGCAAACAAGATCCTGAGAGGAAATAAAAATTATACAGAAATCTAAACAGATCAGTGTCATCCTTGGGAAGGTAAAAACCTCCTCCCCAGGTAAAGATGAAAACAAAAAAGGTATGGTAGCTCATTGCCAAGGTCACACCCAGGTAAGATACCAGTTTAGCAGAATACGTGCAACTGTTGGATTTTCATTTGCCCTAGGCAGTTTTCTGACTCATGGATTAGAGCAGCGGTTCTCAACCTGTGGGTAGCGACCCCTTTGGGGGTCGAACGACCCTTTCACAGGGGTCACCGGGTACTCGTATGTGGGCATATCTGCATGTGAGCCTGGAGACGGATAGAGGAGTGGTGTCTCGGTTCCTAAGACTATCGAAAATATGTGTTTTCCGATGGTCTTAGACGACCCCTGTGAAAGGTTGAGAACCGCTGCTTTAGAGAATAAGGCCCGTTAATTTCCAAAATGATTTAATATCTGACTAATGATGTTTAACCACTAAGATGAGGGAATTGACAATATTGATAATCTTGGAGAGAAATGTATCTGCTTGTTTTTGTCCTTAACACCAACAGATTCTAAGTGGCTTTGGAGAGATCATGATGAATTACTCCCTCTTGATATTTGGCAATGTCTATTTTCTTTAAAAGCATTTTGTGAAATTGTAATCGCTTTTTTATTGGTCTTTCTCCATTTTCCTGAATAGTTACAAGTTCATGTAACAAAAAGAAGACAGATTGAGACTATAAGGTCTTTTGTTTTAAGAAGGAATATTATGTCATCATTCTGGCAAAAATATTCATTTATCTTTTCATGTCTAAAGCTCTGATCAGCTAGGAAATGTTGTGCTTCGTGCTGTACTTGCATCCCAGAATGTGTTTTCATTATCCTGAGTTATCAGTTATGGCAAAATTGGCAGCAGACCCCTCAGCACAGGACAAATATGTTATTTCGGTTGAGTGCTGGGAAGAGTAATTGCTGGGCGTCTGTGTTCCAAAAGCCTTGGACTGTGGACCGGGAGGCTGAAATGGACTTCTGCAGTAGGACTTTTTGGAAAAGGACCTTCAGTGCGTGTGGTGCCAAGTAAAACCATATATCCGTCTCTGCTGCTTAGCTTCACTGTCCCTTCCCCTTTTATAGGCAAGCATGTTGTAGGAAGCTCTCTCACACACTGCCTTTTGCATGCTTTCACATACCAAACAGAAAGGGGAAAAAAAAAAAAAAGAGTTGGCTGATCATCTGCAGATGGTGGCACTTGCTGGCCTTTTTATGTTACTGTCCTTGACTCATCCTTGAGTGATCTAGAGTGACATGTAACCTTCACATGTCACATTACAGGAGTATGGGACTGGGAGTCGGAGCCTTAGAGGTTCATATCCCCACTCGGACGTTTTCTGGACTTGGACATGTTACTTAATTTCCCCACGTTTGCATTTCCTCACCTATAAAGTGAGGTTGATAAATGATCTTAGGGATTGTTGGAGAATCCAATGAGGAAATACTTTTAAAAAGGTAGTTTGTAAACTGATGAGGACTCGTACAAATAGGAGTTTCTGTCATTACTGTGTCAATGAGATGCATTTAGTGCTGATTCTGAGATGTGCTTATGGTACTTGAGTAATGCCTTGATGATTTTACTTGGGCAATATTTTTATCTTCTTTCACTCACATTGTTCTTTGGCTGATGGAGAAAAGTGGTGATCGATGGGACTAGATGAGATTGGACGAACAGTGATGCACACTGTCAAGATAGAATTTCAGGAGGTTCAAATATTATCACTTCTCTCTGTCTTGGACTGCATCATTTTAGTCTCTGTATCAGATACCTAGAAATATAAAGCATATGCTCCATTTGTAACAATTCCTTCCAGGTTTCTTTCTTCCTACTTCCCTCCTTCTGCTACCTCTCCCCCCTTCCTTCTTTCCTTTGTTCTTTTTTTTTTTTTTTAAGATTTTATTGGGGAAGGGGAACAGTGTTGGGGAATTGGGAAGGGGAACAGCCAAGTTGTTGTCTTTCAATCCTAGTTGTGGAGGGCGCAGCTAGCTCAGTTCAGAGTCCAGTCACCATCCAGCTGCCCGTCGGCAGCTCACAGACACTCAGCTCAAGGTGCCGTGTTCAGTCTTAGTTGTGGATGGGCGTAGCCCACAATCCCATGTGGGAGTTGAATCGGCAACTTTGTTGTTAGGTGCACGTGCTCTCACCAGCTGAGCCATCCTGCCACCTGTTGGCAGCTCAGCAGCAGCTCAGCTCGGGCGCAGCTCACTGGCCCATGTGGGAATCAAACTGGTGACCCTTTTGCTCAGAGCTCGCACTCTTAACCAACTGAGCCACTTGGTGGGCCCATTTCCTTTGTTCTTCATTTCTTGGATTAGGGAGGGTCCTATCACCGATTCCTTGTATACCAGTGATGACTTGAGTAAGACATTAAAAAAAAAAAATAAAATCAAATGACCCAGAAGGTACTTAGGATTGTGCTAGGGCTACTGGGCAGGACTTCTTAGTCCTGATCTGGGTTGGATGAAATGACCTTCATCTTTTTTGTCCTCCATCTTTTCAGGAAACTTGGATCTGACTGGTCAGAAGCAGGTATTCAAAGCAGAGAACAATCCCTGGGTCACCCCGATTGCCGACCAGTTCCAGCTTGGCGTGTCCCATGTTTTCGAATACATCCGTTCTGAGACGTACAAGTAGTAAGTAGACTATGGTTTTCTAAAGCAGTAGACTGTGGTTTTTTTATAGTTTTGTGATTTTGCCATTTTAAAAGCTATTATGTGACATTCTTGTATTGATGTGAGTTAGCTCATAGCATTTTTAAATGCTTTATTAATAACCACATATAGTAATTGTTTCATTTATAGATTATTTTAATTGACATTGTCAGAGGGAATTTATACCAATTTTGTTTAGAAATTTTTAAGATACTGTGTTAATTGAATATTCATGGCACTAAGGAAATTCACCAGACACATTACAATCAGAACATACTTTTTTCTCCTTTGAACAGCAAAGAATAACAGCTGTTATGAACAAAATTGTTAAGCAGTTTGTTTATAAAATGAGCAGAGGATACTAGGAATGCATCATTCTATTCTTTAAAAGCTTTTACTCTAGTGAGATGATAATCTAAAAGAAAAAGGAAAGACAGAAAAAGAGAAGGAATCAGCTAGGTTAAGTCACAACATCAGAATCCCTCAACTCAGGTCAAGGGCGACAGTGGGGAGCCGGCCCTAACACCCACCTATTCCCACCTCTCCCTTCCTCAGTGTGTTGTGGTTGGAAGGAGTCCCACCACCCCCACCTGCTCTGTTGCCATATCTTCTGTCATTATTTTTTGCCCATCCCACCCTGCCACATACTGAGGTGATCATTTATCTCATGCTTCCGTGGCCCCTAATGCTGAAATCTAATCACCTCTAGTTTTAAGCAAATACAAAAGACTTGAAAAAAAATTCACATTCAGGTTCACTCTGTCTTTGTGTCCATTGGGATGTTAAATTTAACATCATTTAACATCATTGAGAATTTAACATCATTGGGAATTGAACATCCCAACTATTAGAGAAAAATCAGAGGATCATTGAATGTCATCATTCAGGTAGGAGTCTTTTTTTTTTTTTTTTGTATCAGAAAAATGCCCCGCACGCAATAGGGCCCTCACCGAATCTGTGTGGGGCCAGAGGGTCATACTGAGGGGTAACAGGGCAGGATCCTGCCTGTAAATGGCAAGCTGGGGTCCTGTAGCCGCCTCTCCAGATGCCATGCTCCTGCTCTCACATCTAGGACTTGGGATGCTCTTCTGTCATCTGACCGAATCGCAGAGAGGATGAGCGGTGAAAAACAATGGCATTAAAACAAATAGACGAAAATTGCCAAAATGATAGCATATCCTCATATAGAAAAGCAGCGTTAAGTCATGGTTTAGATATTTTTAAAGATAATATGTGGCATTGATAATATCAAGACTTGCCTTAAGGGTAAAATGAGAGAAGTATAGGATGCGTGTTGTTTCATGAGCCACATAGTTTTGTGCAATTATTATAGATATATAGTTTCTTTAAATATGGATATAGCTCAGCCTTGGAAATTGGTTCAGTCAATGAATGAAAATGTGTGAAAATGTAATTGCAAATTAGCAGATTATTGTTCATTTGGTTTCTCTTAAATTGTTAATCATTGCTGTCATTGGTTTTGGGTAGAGGTGTAATTTTTGGTTAGTAAATGGAATGCTACTTAGAGCTTGGTTTGTAGGGAATTGTTTTTGGAAAGCATTGTATATATTTTAACATACAGAAACATACACAAATCTAGATTTGGGGGAGATACTCTGTTTATTATTCTGGTTAACCATTTTTTATTTTACCATACATTAATTTATAGTTTACAGAGCATTAGAATATATGAAAGTCCTTCATATATTATGTGACTATAGGAAGACTATATTAGAGTATGTGAAAGTGCTTCTAATTTTAACTTCTTTTTAAATGATTAAGTTGTAAATTTATGAATTTCGTATTACATCAGAGTCATTATTAGGCAATTAATTAATCACCATTATATGCTACTATTTATTTATTTGAATGTGGTTAGGATTGTGGATGAATGAGAGGCACATTGCTTTGATTGAGTTAATTGGTAGGCTATTTCAGAGGGAATTTGTGACTCACCATTCTAGTCAGTAACATATTTGGTGTATGTATTCCTATCTCCATTACTGGCATCCTAGGAGTCGGTATCAGAATAATCTAAGCAATTTGCCCACTAGCTTACCTTTTTTGTGTTCGATTTCCTCATGTAGCTCTACTATCTTTTATACAGTTAAACCAACATTAAAAAGCTTAAGCATAGGAGAGATATTGTCCACTTTCTAGGGGGACCAGTCTGTAACCTGGTCACTGCTTTCAGAGGAGACTGTGGGAGCCTCTGCTGGGAGAATACATTTGACGTGAACTTGAGAGCAGGGACCTTTGGGAAGTCCCTTAGAGACCTTCTCTCCTTAGAAAGAAGAATGCTGACCACTTCTTACAGCTCAGCCTTTCTGTCCTCCTCTCATCCTTCCATAGTTATTGTCACTCCTTTATCAAACATACCGGCCCAAAACATGGACTATTAACTAAATAAGACAGTAAGTCAGACTCTTAGTCTTGTTAAAAAAATACTTGTACAAAAATGCCACCATTGTTGTTTCACAGATTTTTAAAATTTAAAGTCCTTTTATATGAATATATATATATATATATATATATATATGTATATGTAGATTTGTGTATATATATTATTTATATTAGTTACACTGATTTTTAAAACTTAATTATTAATATGCACTGATTTTTAAAATTAGAGTTCCTTTTTTTAATATGATTAGATGTATAATAGTGTACCCCCATGTAACTAGAACCCAACTCACCAGGTTAATTCTTTAGTGTTTTAAGCAGCCACTTCATAATTAGAGAACTTTTAGTATCCTTCCCACCTATCTGAAAAAATATTATTCTAATTAACAGGTACTTGGCTACTTTTTAAAAGTTATGCATGTAGCGACTTTCAAGAAGGTAATGTATTCATCGCACTCATATTTTTTCAAAAGACAAGTTCCACGTTCAGTACCTTAGTCTTAGTTCTCTATTCCAAAACCTGTCATTTCCAATACACACTTTTTTTGTCTTTTTAATATAAACCACATACACTCCCTCCAATAAAAAGTCCTGTTTTCCTAGATAGATCTTTAGGCTATTGTAATTTTGTTTTGGCAGTGAAAATACCAGTGAATCGCCTCTTGTTTTCCCCTTACTAATTGACCCTTACCCAAATGAGAACGGTAAAGAACTTAGCGGCATGTTTCCTTTTCGTGCACGTCTGCGGTGGGCCTTCACAGTGACCTACGTGTTGTAAGCACACCCTCAGAGGCCGCCCGAGTCGGCAGAGGACGGCAGAGAAGATGGCTTATCTGATTTCCAGGCTCTAAGGGGCTCCAAGAGATGACATGGATGTTTGAAACAAAGCAGTGAAGTTAGTGTTGAGGAAGAATTAGAGTAGGCTGAGATGATTTAACTCCATAACGATATGAACTTTTGCAATTAAGCCGTAGGAGGTATGGGTAGGTGTGGCTGGGAGGATGTTTAGTTATAGTTCTTCAGGGAATGGTTCTTTGGAGTACGTTTTGGGCATTTATCATGTCTTCCTCATCATTTCTCAGGTGGAGATTACTCTTTATTCATTTATCATACCATCAACAATGGGAACATACTGGCTGGTGCCACAGCATTGCCTATTCATTACGTGTTACTTCCTCTGTTAAAGCAAAACAGTTTCCTTGGTCGGATGTTGCGGACCAAACTCTACAAGCCCATGAGTGTTTCCAGGCGTTTGCTGAGTTAGTTATACAGTCACCTGTTCACTCATTATTCGATGGTCCTCCTTTCCTTGTATGACTGCTTTTATTTCTGTGAAGCGGAATTAGGACAGGATAGGCACCGCTTGTTAAGCTTCCAGAAGGTAGATTTTTTTTTTTTCCCCCAGGAGAAGTCAGCTTGGGGTTGGGATCCTTGACAAGATTCTCTGTGAAAGGGAGTAACTCGCTCTTTTCACATTTCCATCAAGGAAGGTGGATAGAAAGCACAAGCCGTTTTAAAAGCTGACAAGTCAACTCTTAACAAAAGAAGAGGTTTGACAAATGTTAGGCTGAAAACGCGTCGGTTGGAAGAGGCATTGGGGAAACAGGCATCCTGGTGAAGACTGTGATTTTCGAAGCATTGCAACCCAAAAGCCTTATTTCCAGGTGGCGTAACTCAGTGGATGCTTTGTCATTCTTCCTGTCGTGTGACTTTCTTTCTTTCCTCTCTAGGGAAAGATGTCACACTTGATTTTTGTTGTTGTTGTTGTTCTTAAATGAGGACTGGCCATACTGTTATTCATGTTAATGGAAATATTTTAACAATGCTTGGTGAATGATGGGGCAATGATGAGGAAAAGGTGGGCAATTTCTCTTCACTAGAAATCTAGGAAAATAAATCTTCCTGTTTGATGTGGCGAGGACACTTATCTGCTGGTTATTGTTTCTCAAGTTGTTTAACTTGTAGAATTAAAACTAAGTAATTTTTATTTTCCTGTACTGCGGCCAAACCTATTAGAGGTTACTATGGTTATTATGGACATCAATGGGCTTTATTAAACAACTCCTGTATCCTCTGCTGAGGCAGTGGCCTAGGAGATCCTTAAATGATATATCTGGTCTCCCAAAAGGCCAGAGCATTTAAAACTAATCGGCGATCCCATTCATTTTAAGACAGCCCTTTGCAGAAGGAATTTATGTCTGACAAAAACTGTAAAAACCTTATTATTTTCTTGTGAAGTTTAAATGGATGCGCAGAGCTAGCAGATGGTTTCATAAACATCACAGGAGGATGGAGGAGAGGGTTCAACTCCCAGGACCTTTCTAGCAGTTAGTGAATTTTACGTAGTGGCAGTCGGTATGCCGGAAAATACAGACTTTTCTTTGTCTTTACTAAATCTGAAAATAGCTCAAATTACACCAGAGAAAACCAGCATTTCTTTATAGTAGCCATGAAAATGAAGAACCAATTCTCTCCCTAAAGCTTTTGACATAGAGATCGTTTTTATTTTTAAAAGTTGACTACGTCTTTTGTTCTTTTCCTTTTTAGATACTACCTATGTATATTTTGGTTCTTTTTTT